AGAAAACCGGAAGTGGCGCTGTAGCTCAAGTGGTAGAGCGCTCGCCTTGAGCTGAAGAGCTGAGGGACAGCGCCCAGGCCCAGAGTTCAAGCCCCACGGCCAACCAAAAAAAAAAAAAAGATAGGTTGAGGGTAATTTAACAATGTTTTTTGAAAGAACTAGACCTTGAACCACGATCCTCAGATCTCAGCCTCCTGAGTAGCTAAGATTACAAGTATGAGCCACTGGTACCTGGCTAACATCTCTTCTTTTTGTGTAGGTGCTTAAAGCTGTGACTTCCTTTCAGCACTGCTTTTTGCTGTATCCCAGAGGTTCTGATAGGAGTGCATTCATTTTCTTTGGCTTGAGGAAACTTTTTGATTTCTCCCTTTATTTCTTCAGTGTGTTGTTATTCAACAATGTGTTGTTCAGTCCATGTTTTTGAGCATTTTTTGTTGTGTCTTCTGATGAGTTTTAATTCAGTCTTACTGTGATCAGAATATAGGGAGTTGCGTTTTTTTATTTTTTTAAAAAATTGCTTAGGTTTGTTTTATATCTTAGGGTATGTTCTGTTTTGAAAAGGGTTTCCTGAGCTGCTGAGAAGAATGTGTATCCTGTGGCTTCTGGGTGAAATGTTCTGTAGATGTCCATTAAACCCATTGGAGTTATGGTATCACAGGTTTCTTTGCTGATCTTTGTTTGGTTGACATGTCTTTTGGAGAGTGGGGTGTTAAAGTCTTAGTCATGTGTTGGAGTCTGTCTGTCCCTCTTAAGTCTGAGTATGTTAGGTGCATCACTGGTAGGTACATATATGTTGACCACTGTAATTCTGTCATGTATCTTTCCCTTTATGAATATGAAGTAACCTTCTTTGTTTCTTTTTACTGATTTTAGCCTGTAGTCTGTTTTATCAGACACCAGTATGGCTGCTCCTACCTTCTTGCAGGATGCATTTGATTGGAAGGGCTTTTTCTTAAGTTGGAATTTGTGTTTATCTTTGATAATGAAGTGTGTTTCTTGGAGACCACAAATGGTTGGCTCTTATTTTCTGGTCCAGGCTGCTGCTTTATGCCTTCTGATTAGAGAGTCAAACCCATTGATGTTTAATATCACTATTGAGAAATATGCCCTGTTTTCTGCCGTTTTGTCATTTTTGTGGTACTTGCTTTTTTCTTCTTCCTGTTTTACTAGTCTCATCCTTTAGTATTGCTTATTCATTGCTGTATTTCTTTGATTTTGATTTGTGTCTTCTGAGGTTAGGATTCCCTTTTGTACCTTTTTATTTTATTTTTTTGGTGGTGGGGGTCATTCCTGAGATTTGAAATTGTGACCTGGATGCAGTCCCTGAGCTGGCATTCTACCACTTGAGCCACAGCTCCACTTCAGTGTTTTTGGCAGAGGATGGGAGGGTGGGGGGGGCTAATTGGAGATAAGAGTCTTATGGGTTTTCTTTCTGGTTTTGAACTGTGATCATCAGGTCTCAGCCTTCTTCTTCTTTTTTTTTGTCAGTTGTTTGGCTTGAACTCTGGGCCTGGACGCTGTCCCTCAGCTCTTCAGCTCAAGGCTAGCGCTCTGCCACTTGAGCTATAGCTCCACTTCTGGTTTTCTGGTGGTTTATTGGAGATAAGAGTTTCACGGACTTTCCTGCCCAGGCTGGCTTTGAACCGTGATCCTCGGATCTCAGGCTCCTGAGTAGTTAGGATTACAGGCGTGAGCCACTGGCGCCTTTGTGCTTTTTAACACATTTTGAGATGATGCATATACATGCTGTTGGTCCAAAAACTACCCCTGCAGTGGCACCAGGTTGGAGTGTGTGATTGTTCTCCTCTGTAGACTCAGCCTTCTGGCTGTTGTGCTTGGGTTGCTCTTACCTAACAGTTCTGCCACTCCAGCGAGCCCCTCCAGCCCCTCCCCTGACTCCATGGCCCTCATTCCTGCCACACCTCGGCTAAAAGGCTCAGCTGCATCTTGCCTGCGGAGCCAGCGGGCGTCCCCTGCCCTCTCATGGCGGCTCACACAGTCTCACAGAGCCTTTCTCCTGCCAGCTCCTCCCGTGCCACCCACCTGTATTCCCAGGTCTTCCTCATGCACCAGGCCAGCAGCCCCTCACTCGGGGCCCTTGATCTGGTCTAGCAATGCCCTGACACACATGCTTTTTAAATTGGGTCTGTTTATGTGGTGTAATCTCCCATTTGTGTTCTCACATACACAGTAGCTATTTATGTCCTCGTGAGTCCAAGCACAGCCATTGTGACTCTGCTCCATTTCCCTCTGCTGTGAGTCAGCCATGCAGCTCTATTATTACTATTTATTCATTTATTATTACTGTTACTGTTGATTCCAGCATTCCCCATTCCTCTCCACGTCCTGCTCTGACTCCTCTCTTTCCTGGCACTCCCCCCCCCCCCATGCTGCCATCAGAAGAGCCAGCTAGGGTCAGACAGACTGGAACCATCCCTGTCCTGGTAGGTGAGGGAGGACCGTGCAGAGATCCCAGCGTTGAGGTCCTGCCTCACTCAGGTCCCGCTTTCACCTCTCAGGAGGGAGGTGTGCTCAGGCAGGTTAGCTTGCCTCTAGAAAGCAGTGGTGCCAAACTCAAACAGTTAACGTGAGAGTTGGAAAGTCAGGAAGCCCTCAGAAGTTTATTCCTATCGGGCAAGAAAGGACTATTCCTCTTTGCCGTAGCCGCTGTACAGGGTGTTGACAAGGGCACAATGTCCCATTCGCCCAGGCCCACTGTCAAGAGAAACCCAGTATTGTTGAATGGTGCCTTGATCCTGAGAACATTAAACCTCAGATTTAGTATGATTTAGTTGCTGGATAAGGTTGTACGTTTTTCCATCCCATCCCCCACTTACGCATTTGCTTACTTTGTGCGTGGTGGTATTTTGGAGACTGGACTCCAGGGGGAGAATTATAAACCCCCAGGAATAGCAGTCTCAGGATGTCAACTCCCTCTGTAGTTGAAGGTCACCAGGAACGATGAGACTTAGTCACTGGGTGGAACAAAGCTGTACTCATAAAGCTCAGCTTCCGCAGTGGGCCTCAGGCCTCTGGCCAGGGGCAGATGCAGGGTGGTGACCTGTAAGCCCGTCTCCCCCACTGCAAGAGAAAGATTGATGCCCTCCCCACCACAGCTGACCAGGCAGCACGCGAAGTGAAGGCCTCTTCACCTAGCAGGCATAGGCGTGCCTGTGTCTTGGTCAGGAAGTGCTCCAGTTCTGTGACTTACTGTGAGGTGACGATTGCGAAGCCTGGAGGTGGAGGAATCTACTTCCCTATGCGTGTCACTTTGTCATCTCCTGCCCATGTTTGGCTGACACACATCAGGATAATCCCCTAGCTCTCGCAGGTCTTAGGCCACGCCCCTCCTAATGAATACACCCCTGGTGTGGTTCAGCAGCTACAGTCTTGCCTCTTGGGAGACTAAATGAGTATATAAAGGCAGTGCTTAGAGCATGTATGAAAGTAGAATACTGGCTCACAAGCTCTAGCAGTCAGTCCATCAGGAACCAAAACCTTAGCCCCCCCAAATCTTAGCAGCCATCTCAGAAGTGTTCAGGAATTAATCAGTGCCTGTTAGGTTCTGTAATTTTTTTTTTTTTTTTTTTGGTACTAGAGTTTGAATTCAGGACTTCATACTTGTTATACAGGTGCTCTATTACCTGAGCCACAACTTCATCCTCTAGATTTTTATTTATTTATTTATGGGCATACACTAATTGAATAAGTGTGATTTCATTGTGACATTTCCACACATACACACAATACATTTCAGTCAGCCCTGTGTCACTTTCCCCATTGTCCTGCCCTTTCTTAAGGAACTCAGGGTCTGGATGCTGCCCTTAACTTTTTTTTGTTCAAGGCATGCTGACCTGCCGTCACTCGCGCCACAGCTCCCTGCGTCCAGCTCAGAATCAACCATAGAGGGCCAAGTATTCTTCCCAAGCCAGTCAGTGAGGACCCCGCGTTTCTGGCTGGCCGGCCTCAGCCTCCTTGTGCCCCGCAGCGCCGGTGGAGACACACTGGAAGCCCTCGCTTCTCCACTATGCAGCCGTCATTCTCCCCTGTGTCTCCAGGTCCCTCACAAAGCCAGACCTGGTGTGTAACTCTGGCTGTACAACTCTGAATAAGTCACTCTAAGTTTTTTCCTCCTGGGGTGGTCCTCATTTGTTTGTACACACACGTGGAAACAAGTGGAGCATTTGGAATGATCTGCCATACGCCAGGGATTTGGTGGGATGAAATTCATCATTAGAGCCGGTTGAAAACTTCCTGTTACAGAAAGTGTTTGTGTTGTAGGAAACCTCGGTGCGTGAAGGTCATGGAGGACATTTGGCCAGAAGTAACGGGGAAGAAGAACACAAAGACTGCTCTGGCAAGTACTGGATTTTCTGCCAAGGTAGTTCCCAGGCAATCTCCTCACAGTGTAGATTATACAAACGGACAAAAGACAAAGTCACCCAGTAAGATAATGTAACCGTGGTTAGGACTGATCTGTTAAGAGTCTTAATTCTTTCTAAACAGCCAAGATGCATGTGTGACTTGCTCTGTTAATATTTCAGGAATAAAACAAAACTAGGAAACAAGCAAAAGATGATGTGGAAGTAGAGGAATGATAAAAACTTACAGTTAGGGCTGGGAAGGTGGCTCAGTGGTAGAGTGCTTGCCTTGCATGCCTGAGGCCCTGGGTTCGATTCCTCAGCACCACATAAGCAAAAAGAAAAAA